CCTCCTCCATTATCCACATCCCCCACGTGTGGTGCATTTGTTACAGCTGATAAGCCTACTTGACACGTCATTATCAGCCAAAGTCCACCATTCACGTTAGGGCTCACTCTTCATGTTGACATTTTCTGTGTCTGGACAAATACATAATAATGTGTATCCAACATTAAACTCAGTCTAACAATTAAATAATCAGCCTGAAGAAGGGTACATCTTTAAAACTAGCAGAGCCAATATTCAAACCCATACATACTATATGCGTTGCATAAGACAGAAACATACCTGAATTAGCATTTAGAACCTTTGACAAATAGTATGCTTAAATCTCAGTCATCAAAATTATGTACTATTTTAACAGAATTGGAGGGCTTACACTTTCAGTAAAAGTTAAGCAGCTTGGTAGCTCATGCCTATAATCCCAGCACTTTGGAAGGCCAAGGCAGGCAGATCACCTGAGGTCAAGAGTTTGAGACCAGCCTGGCCAACATGGTAAAACTCGTCTCTACTAAAAATACAAAAGTTAGCTGGGCATGGTGACAGGAGCCTGTAATCCCAGCTACCCAGGAGGCTGAGGCAGGAGAACTGCTTGAATCCGGGAAGTGGAGACTACAGTGAGTCAAGACTGTGCCACTGCATTCCAGCCTGGGCAACAGAGCAACGCTCCAGCAAAACAAAGCAAAACAAAACAACAAAAAACTAAGCAGCTCAGATGCCTTCAAAACAAACTTTATCTTGGGATTCAGAAAAGTATTTTGGCTATTTGAGAATTGTATCTTTTTACTATAAACAAAACTTATTTTTCAAATTTATATTATTAGTCATTAAAAAAAGGAAATCATTGAACAAGACTGCAAAATTCTCAAAAACACTTTCAAATTATAATATTCAATAAGAAGCAATTTCTTCCAAAGTATCAAATAGCTGAAAAAGTGATCTGTATGGAAAAGCTTAAAAACATATAACACACAAAACCACCTTTTCAAAAAAGAGAAACAGGCATTGCTGTGTTATGAATACTGTCATTATCTGAAAATCTGGTTTTTACTTAAAAGCAGCATTGACTATGAGATAAGGAAACTAGGTGATAAACAAAATGAATGAGAAAAAAGATAAATTATTTCTTAATGAAAGTCAACTTGATTGATGTGTTTTCTACATGGGTACATATTTTAAATGTATCTACCAACTTAAAATGTTTGTTCTAGAGTCAATTAATATTGGTAGAGTACTTATGTATAGGCACAGATTTAAGGAATTTTATTTCAACTCTTTTATCCTAATTAGCTAATTTATATTGTCTTTAACCTTGAAAACAGAGTCAATAATTCTGAAACCTAAACATCTAAAAGCCCTCTAGGGACCTGACCATGAATTCTAGAACAGGAGTCATCTGTCACTGAGGCACAGCATGATGTGTATAAACTTTTAAAACCATAAAGGGCAAAAGAAATGTTTCCAGGTCACATCTTACTATGTGGTTCTGTTCTAATGATGTCTCTATTTAATGTTATTGTATGATTTGATGACAGGATGATAGTTATATATGATAATCATTTTCAATAAGGTCCACAAACACCAGCACGATCTGGCAGCAGTGTGGACCACACTGAACCGTCAACCCATTTCTCCAAGCAGCTGGGGCCCAGATGCTCAGCACTCTAACCCTTCCCTCAGCCACGAAAGTTCTCCCACTCCTCTCCCATCTTTGCTCAAAAGTCACCTTAATGAGGCCTGCCAGCTACTGAAAATTATAATCCACTCTATCTCTCCTAGATGTCCGTTAGCCTGCTTTATTTGTTCTACAGCACTAATCACCTTATCACCTACTATAATATGGATTTTGTTATTGTAGCGTTTTTCTATCTGCCCACACAAACATCACCAGAGCAGGAATTTTGGTCTTTTTGTTCACTGAGGAACATGAAGAATTTAAAAGATGTCTGGCAGAAAATAAGTGCTTAACATATATGTATATATACATGTTAAAAACATTTTAAATGAATGAGAGTATGATATAATCAGCAAAAAGATGAACCTAGAGCCATCATTTCTTTATACTTTTTCAGGTGGGAGAAAAACTTAAATACAGGCAGTTACCATAGAATCTTAGTACAAGTTCTCAAGACCCTACAAATTTCCTCTTGTCGTGCAATTATAGGAATACAGCAGCCTTTCCAATGCATCTTTCCTACTCAAGCATCTTCCAACTCAGTAATTCCAGAAACATCTTAACATTCTTAACATACCACACAAATCCCTGGTTACATACCACATAAATCCCTTGTTATAGGTTTTCAATATGGAATTATAAGAAAATTAACTACACCAATATTTTTAACCCCTAACTCCAAAGAACCTGTTGTGAGGATTAGAAATAATATATTGAAAAGACTTAGCATACACAGGTACTTGAATTAAAAATTCTTATCAAGTAGCCACTTGGGAGGCTGAGGCAGGAGGACAGCATGAGCCTGGGAGGCAGAGTTTGCAGTGAGTCCCTGCAGATTGCACCACTGTACTCCAGCCGGGGCGGCACAGCAAGACCATCTCTGTCGGGGGGAGCGGAATCTTACCAATGTTTCTAGTCTTGGGTGGTAGAATAAATCAGTGACCATCCATTGAGGAAGAAATAGGAAAATAACTCCCTCAATATAATCTGGCAATCCAAAATTGATAAAGTTCTACCTAAATCAGCAACTCCTGAGGATAAAGAGTGAGGGGTAAACTGATTAAAAAGCTAAATTCATTAATTCAAACAAAATTTGAGTGTGTGCTTACAAATGCTAGGGTCTGTCCTCCATTCTGGGTTTACAGTCATGAGCAAATAAAATATGACTCTGCTCTCCTGCAGCTTACAACCTAGTAAGAAAACACTTCTCTACTTTTACACAATCACACAGTCCCAAGAGGGAGGAAACACTGGTGTATTCAAATAAGAACTGTTAGAGGCCATTAAGAATTTTAATTATAATGGCGCATATTACTGCCTGAAATAAATGAACTATGAGAACAGGAGTACTTTAATGTGAATGTTGTTCTCCATGTGTCTAAATTTTGATTCCCAGTTTTACAAATATCTGTGACGGAAGCATAAAATCTCGGTCATCATTTGCATCCAGAGGACACAGCATCCAACTCTCAGCTTCTCCTTTCTGTACTAATCTCCCAAACACAGTGAGTCACCAAAGGACCAGCACTGGTTACCAAAATGAATATATTTTGTTCTGTAGTTTCCTGTCCTGGGGGCGAAAATACAAAACAAAACAAAAAATGGAGCAACGTACAGCACAAAATATTCAACTAGAGGCATCATGCCAAGAAAGCAACAGGAAGTTTTATATTTAAGCCAAAGACTCCTGGGTTTCTTTCAAAATTTTAAATCGTGACAATTATCTTGATGTTTCTTGATGAATCAGATCTGTCTATAGAACAAAAGCTTGCTCAGGAGTTTTGTGTACTTTGAGGAATAATTATTTCCTAAGCTTATTCACTTTTTTAAGAAAGCAGCTTACAGACAGATTTAGAAGCTGGTGTGCTTGAGGGAAAACATTTGTAATCAGTCAACCTACAGAGGCATTTTGCTTGAAATGTCAATGGAAAACAATTTTGTAAGGAAAAAGAACTTCAAAACTGATCCCATTAAAAAATATTTCTCATTTTATTTATTTATTGAGATGGAAACTTGCTCTGTCCCCCAGGATAGAGTGCAGTGGCACAATCTTGGCTCACTGCAGCTTCCACCTCTGGGTTCAAGTGATTCTCCTCCCTCCACCTTGTGAGTAGCTGGGATTTCAGGCACCCGCTACCATGCCCGGCTAATTTTTGCATTTTTACTACAGATGGGGTTTCACCATGTTGGCCAGCCTGGTCTCAAACTCCTGACCTCAAGTGATCCACCTGCCTTGGCCTCCCAAAATGCTGGGATTACAGGTGTGAGCTCCTGTACCAGTGTCTAATTTTCTCACATATATTTCTTTTTCAACTTTGCAGTTTAAATTGTTGCCAAATTTTTCAAAGTCACCACTATTTTTAATGAATCATGGTGTGGAAGCTTGCGTTTAATTATAATAGCACTGAGTGACATTCAAATCTCTTCAATTTCTTTGCTTCCTTCCCTCTTGGTGTAACTATATTAGTAAACAGCACATAATACATTGATTAAGTTATTTTTATAGCTGATTAGCAGTAATTTACATTTTAACTTTTCAGATTGTACATACACACTGTTGCTAAGTAGCTATTAAAATACACCTATCAATAAATATCAACAAAGGAGTGTTTCCATTTATCTATTGCTGCATAGCAAACCACCCTAAAACTTAATGGCTTAAAAAAAAGTAATTGTTTGTTTTGCTCAAGATTCTGCAATCTATGGCAAGGCTCAGCTGAACAGTTCTTCTGCTCAGCTCCCCAGTCATCACATGAGGCTGCATTTAGCTGATGGAGACCAGCTAGGATACTTGGACAGCCAAGCCTCCCTCTCCCCAACCCCATGTAGTCCTAGGGCCTCTCTCCATTCATGTGACCTCCCACTAAAATAACTGGACTTCTCAGATATAATTGCTGGGACTTCTCAAAGCTTAGGCCTGGAACATGCCCACTATCGATTCTGCTGATTTTATCAGTTAAAGTCTCAGACTTGGGCCGGGCGCGGTGGCTCAAGCCTGTAATCCCAGCACTTTGGGAGGCTGAGGCGGGTGGATCACGAGGTCAAGAGATCGAGACCATCCTGGTCAACACGGTGAAACCCTGTCTCTACTAAAACTACAAAAAAATTAGCTGGTCATGGTGGCGCGTGCCTGTAATCCCAGCTACTCAGGAAGCTGAGGCAGGAGAATTGCCTGAACCCAGGAGGTGGAGGTTGCAGTGAGCCGAGATCGCACCATTGCACTCCAGCCTGGGTAACAAGAGCAAAACTCCGTCTCAAAAAAAAAAAAAAAAAAGAGTGAGGAAATCAATAAAGTATGTTACAGCGTAACCCTTTAAAAAAAAAAAAAAAAGTCTCAGACTTATGCCACAAACAGGAAGGGCCTACCCAATGGTGTAAATACTGAAAGGAGTACTTTTCTTGGAGCCCTCACTGTAACAGGTCATAAGACCAATTTATATTTCATCTTCAGAACTTATACTGTATTCCTGGGGGCTATCAGCATAGGAGAGGCAAGAATTTTTAATTTCTGGGAAAATATTTGAAAGCAAGTCAATAGATGAGTAGTAGATTGGGGTGAAGGATGAATATAGTCAACTATAAAACAGCATATCTAAATAGCATTAGTATAAAAATGTAGACCTTCATATACCTTTTTAATGTAAGTTGTGTATTGGTAAAATTATCAAGGAGTTGTATATAGAGGCTTAGTTATTACTATGTAACGCATAATCTTCAAGAAGCTGAACAAGGGAAATGATACACCAGGTTTATTATGGGAAAGTGTATACAGCTAGTGCTCGACTTACGACCACAATTGGTTCCGACAGACCGGTCGTAACACAATTTGGTCGTAAGTTGAGTAGGCCTGGAACATTCCCACTATCTGTACAAATTTACAATATGTACAGTATTGTAAAACGATGTTATAAAAATCTTTAAGTCATATTTTATCATAATTTTCTTTCATTATTGTTGTATATCATAATTTTCTTTGTTCATTTTATGCCATTTGTATCATCTCTACGCCATTTTGTTTCTTATTTTTACATTCGTCAAGTTTAAGTAAAACACCGCATTACCAGTACAACTGGTTTAATATTTGTAAAACATACAAAATTACAAAATACAGGTGCATACAAAAATACAAAATACAGGTGTAAAAAATACCATAGGAAACATTTTCCCAATTGCAAAACATATCAAAATATATAAACATGTACGAAACATTTTATTGGGCCGCTGGTGCTTGGCTGCGGATCGTTGATGTCATCATCTGAGGCAGCAGTTGGGTTTAAAGGAGTTGGTTTTTTCATAAACATGGTGAGCTTTGTCTGTATTGTATGTTTCTTTCCTTCTTCATAAATTTCACGATACGGACGGAACACATCATGCGCCATCCGTTCAATCCTTGCAAATCATTCGATGTTTGGGTCCATTGCTTCGAAATGTATAAGAAGTTTATTGGGAGGGGTTTGATGAAAAATATCCAAGACACAAAACACAAATTGCTGTATCGAGTCTGGGATAACAGTTGAAATGGTGCACGCAGAGATGGTAGTGCTGCCGGAAGCTGGTCCGCACTGTCGTATGCCCAGCTGGGCAACGTTTGCGCTGCCAGACCCGGAGCAGTAGTGGCTAGCGATTGTGGTCGTAAAGTCGAATGGTCGTACGTTGTATAGGTCGTAAGTCGATCAATACCTGTACACTACACTTCATCCACCAATAGGGTGAGTGTCAGGTTAACCAGTAGAATCAGTGGAAAGACAAGAGCAGCAAGCAATCTCTTAACCTTTCATCCAGAACCTCTCGCAGACCACTGGCCTGGGAGGGTGTGGGTTCTATACACTTCATCTAGTAAGTCTATCTATACACTTTATCTAGTCAGTCTCTTCATCTAGTCAGAAAGAAGTGAATACTCTCATTCCATACACCCTTTATATTTAATAGCTTTACTTCCTCAAGTCAATGAAGCCATTCTGAAGCTTGATCCTCTATGGATCTTCCTTAAATTGGACCTATATGTAAAAATATCTTTATTTCCTTCTAACCCAGGGAATTCTTTTTTTTTTTCAACACCACTACTTATATTTGCAGGAGATGGGGTCAAATCATACCACGAACTTTAAAACTGGGTAGGACTAGAAATGCTGATCTGCCCAACCTCTGGGTATTCACACCTGCACAGGTAACCAGATCCTGTACGCAAGGCATCACCATTTGGGCATTAGATGAGGAGAACATATTCTGAGTAGTCACATGATTTCCCATCCAGAGGAAGGAGCTGCCCTCATATCAGAAGAGCAGTACTGAGAAAAATGCAGGCAGGGCCTGGCATCCACCTCCTAGCATAGGCCTAGACATGATGATGGCCGTGTGCCAGGGAATCACACCCTATTTACAATGCAGGAGAATGATGCTCCCAGCTGAGCTGCAGGATATGCACTGGGCTGACTGGAGAGGTAGACAGGGTGTGGTCTGACCCCATTAGCCTTTCCCTGTCCAACCTGGGCCCCCACATGCCATTCTCTGGCCTTCTGCACAAGACAGACTCAGCAAATCCAGGAGGTACAGAGATTGTGCCAAATCCCCATCTCTCCTCACCTTCACCAGGTCTAACAGGTGACCCAATCCACTGGGTGCAGCCCCACCCATACCCAACCCCACATCTGGACAGACACATGGCAAATATGGAAACTGAAGCCCGGCTGGGCTGGAACACACCTGGTTGTTGCTGGGTTGGAGTCATCTTGCAGGTATCCCAAGACGGTCAGGCCTCACTGTTGGTGCCCAGGTCCTGAGACCATGTTTTAGATGATTCAAGTTACTCCAGGGCGAAGCATGATCCTGATGACACCCAATGGAGAAGCCGGTTGGAGTCTCAGAAGAGCTGGCCCTTTATACTCAAGTACTTCCAGTAGTGAATCCAGGATTTGAACACCGAGGCGTAACAGGGGAGCCCAGCCTGCAGGTTACCGACTAGCAGGAAGGGGTAGGTCAGCATGCTCACTGCGATCCCCATCACATACTTGGTGTGGCCCCGGATGGCCAGGGCCTGGCGAAAGCTGTCATCCACCAGGTAGGCACTGATGAAGTGGGCCAGCAGGTTACAGCCCCACAAAAAAACCACATTGCCCAACAAATTAAGGAGGTAAGGGATTAATCCAACAAATCCCAGCAGCCCTTCCTCTTTGAAAATCTTCCCAATGGAGCTCAGCACACCACTGTATTTGGCTTCCTATCCCACAAACTGGACCATGCAGCGCACTGAAATGACATGCAGCGGGTGGGCCAACATGCGGACACGCACTGCATCACCATCTCATAGGTCTCCTTCACAGCTTTCTTCAGCAAAGTCTTCATATCATCCTTGTTGGAAACCTGCTCAATCTCATCTAGAGGGAAAACCTTCTTCAAGCTACCCCAGGTCACAGTGGAAAGGGCACTGGACATCAGCCAGGGGTTCAGGCCTTGGAAAAGCCCTATCTTAGCATCCACTTGCACAGTGTACTTGGTGTAGGTGAAGAAGATTGGCAGATAGAGGGCTTTCCTCCCCAGCACATAAGGCTTTGTGTTTGGGTCGTTCTTAATTAAAGCAAGTTCGATCTGATTGTAACAAAGTTGTTCCAAATTACCTCGTATTTTGATAACATGCCATAAAACTCATCTGGTAAGCTTTAATAGCTACACATGCCAGCCAACTTCTAATATTTTTCAAATAAAAAACTCATGTGTATTACAACTCACCTTTATTGATATTTCTTCAGTTTAATCTAAATGTTGACAAGCTTTTTTCCATTTATTATTTAAATAAGCAAAACAAAAAATTCTATTCAAAGAAACACAAAATAAATTTTGGAGCACAAATTGTGGTATGGCAGTTTTCCTTTGTATTTCTAAACATCTATTCATAAGACTTTCTTTTTGCAATCTGCAAGCTTCTTTCATCAAGCCAATTGGTTTAATTAGCATTTACATCATTTTAAGTTATGACGCACATTAACAAAATAAAACAGTTGTAGAAACAACAAAACTTCAACACTTACTCAGAAATCACCTAGCCCTAACCTTGTCTCCTCTTTCCAAATGTAGCAGCAGCTTCTTTAGATGAAAGGTGAATGGAAAGGAATGTTTTCAAGGGGAAGAGGATAGTAGTAATAACATGGACCCAGAGCATATATACTATCCATATACTCAACTGAAGGATCTCCTAAGAACGTTCCAGAAGCTACATGACAGAAATGTCAGTCATTACATTCACCATCAGCAAAGCGCTCAAAGCTCTTACATGGGCAAAGTTACGCTGACAGGAGTGCCCATTAGAAATCACAATAGGTATCAGATACCTTGCTACCACTGACCACACACAAATGAGATCAACAGAAAATACCATCTCAAAGATATGATTAGACTGAATAAGTATAAAATTATTTCACACTTTTTTGGGATTAAATACTTTTGCCTAAATTTAAAGTAACACAATAAATATACTCACTGCTTCTCTCTGTTTCTTATTAACAATACAGACCATGAAACTGTATCAGAACATCAGTATTCAATAATTTTATGTTCTGGTTGATAGTCCTTAAAGAACTTTCACTTCATCTTCTTTGCTGGATAAAATAATATTTATCATTTTGTGTTTACCTTTGCTAAAATGGATCAGTAATACCTCATAAAATTAGAATTAAGGTATGGCTATATCACAGAACTTTAAAAGACCATTTTTCTAACATTATTTTAAAATCTAGAAAATAAAATCATATTTCCATTCATATCATTTTTTATGAAGATGCAATTACTGAACAAGAATAATGCAAGTAAGAAAGTTAGAATTAGTTGAAAACAAGCAAAAAAATATATATAACCACTTAGGAAACACACAATGCAAAACGAATTAGTTAGATCATCACTGTTATTCTCTAAGCAATTGAAAATACCTACCTCTAAAAGGGGAGAAACACAAAAGTGCGAATAGAATTTCTAACAGAAAGGCCATTGTTTACCCTTAAGTTTCACACTGTAGGAATATGAACATCTGCCAGATAATTAAATACACCCACATGCAGAATGTTCCATCACTTTTCTAAATTTTAATTGCCTCCATTTATTATAATCACCAACAGGTAATTTTCTAAGCAACATAAGATCGGCATTGGGATTAAGGTTAGCTAAATAGTCTAAATTAGTTTAAGCAACTACTTTTGGATAATCAGTTGCACTTGTGCCCACTCACAGGGAGAAGCTGTTGAAATTCAAGGATTTCCTCTGCATTCTCTTGCCTGCAGAGCAAAACAGCTACTACAGAGTCAAGTTCAGTAACTGCACTGGAGCAAGGAAAATTAAATTGCTCAGTGAGATTTAAGTTTAGTAGGGCATAACACTTCTTCATTCTGCACCCAAGACAATTTGACTTTCCATACCTATTATATCTCCAAGTCCAAATAGGTGACATGTATCTCTGAGCATTCAAGTTCCTCTTAAAAAGCCTTAGTCTTGGCTGGGCATGGTAGCTCACTCCTGTAATCCTAGCACTTTGGGAGGCCAAGGTGGACAGACGATGAGGTCACGAGATCAAGACCATCCTGGCCAACATGGGAAAACCCTGTCTCTACTAAAAATACAAAAATTAGCTGGGTGTGGTGACATGCACCTGTAATCCCAGCTACTTGGGAGGCTGAGGCAGGAGAATCGCTTGAACCTGGGAGGCAGAGGTTGCAGTGGACCAAGATAGTGCCACTGCACTCCAGCCAGCAACACAGCGAGACTCTGTCTCAAAAAAAAAAAAAAAAAAAAAAAAGGGCTTAGTCTTTAACGCTTCACAAAATATTGATGTGATTGACAACTTACTTTCTGAAATGCCACCATCAAGTATGAAACTGTTGCCTCAGGCAGGGCAATAAACTGTGCTTTGAATAAATGTTTAAAGCTGAGATTCTCCATACGGGTATTTCTTAACTCGGAAATATTTCACATCAAAACACAGTACTCATATTATATGTGTATATATATGTACACAGAAACACATATTGAAAACACACAAATACATATCAAATGTTTCAGGAATCATGTCTTACCCAGTTACTGTCTGATACTCTCCAATATTTTATATTCTATTGCTTTGTTTACATTGCTCATTGTCCTTAATTTGGTTTCACCAACCCAATGATGCCGTAGCAACCACAGTTTGGAAAATACAGCTCTCTCTCTGCAAACACCAATTCATAGTTCTTCATAAAATTTACTCCTGCCAATCAGGATCAGTGTGACACCCTGTGCAGATGGGACTAAAAACACACTCCAAAGAGGTGACTGATTTGTAAATGAGTCTGCTTTTGATACATGAATGAAATAGGCAGCAGAAAATCCAGAGCCGACGAGCACAAACTGCATATCTAAGAGCAAATTAGTCATTTATCATGAAACTGAAGGTACTCTGTTGCAGACTTTTTTGGACGGGAAAATGGAAATTTAAACATGACTTTATTTTTTTCTTATTATGCTTGCAAAAAAAATTAACTGATACTATCATGTTGAAAAACGTGGGAAAATGTGTATGCTGTTATTAGGACTGCAATTTTGTACAGCCATTGTGGAGAGTGACTTGGGAGCATCGGTAAATTCTGAACATGCAAATCCTTTGACCCAGCAATTCTAGTTTGTGCTATGCTCTTGCACATGCAAACCAGCAGATGTTAAAGACATTGGCCATTGATGAGAAAATACTTAAGGTATAATCACATTTTTTAAATTATTTTAATTTTTAAAAGAAATATTAAGAACAACAGGTATTTCCATATCATTTTCTTTTTCGTATGTGACAAATTCAGTTTCTTGTCAGTACACATATCACTGTTTCTCAATGAGATGTTATTAGTATTCTGGGCCAACTATTTCTTCATAAAATGCTCGTGTGTGTGTGTGTGTGTGTGTGTGTGTGTGTGTGTACTTTAACCCCGAGGTAAGGGTGGTACCAGCCTTGACTGAAAAACAAAACAAAACAAAAACCCACTATGCCATGTGTAATGAGGAGAAAAGAATTTTTAAAAGATGTTATGAGGTGGGGAAAAGCCAGTTGCAGAACAATACATATAGTATGATTCTAATTATGTGAAAAGAAGCCAACCACAATCTGTGGGTGTGCACATGAATGATGAGTCAGAGGATGTGTGGAAAGAGATTGACAATGTCTGCTCTATGAGCTTCGATTTTTTTTTTTTTAAGAATTTTTTCCATACTGGTGGATAATTTGATTAGGTTACAGTATTTTATTTGGGGAAACTAAAATCCATAACATATTCACACACCTTAAGTGGTTATTTTAAGCACTGGGAGTTGGCAGAGCTCTGGAACAAGGAGGGAAAGAGACTAAGGAATTAACGTGTTTCTAATGACATCCTTGACTCATAAAGTCCTTTTCCTTCCCCACTGAAGTGAGAAGATCTTTCTGTTCTGACAAGAAACTGAATAGAGGAATTCAGTTTCATAAAAATACAATTAAAAACATGGAAATCAAACAATAACACTACCTTTGTTTTATGTCCCCAATGTCACCTCTTCCCACAGGACTTGTGGAAATGTTTCCTCTAACCTCTAACCTCCATATCTAGCTTGTATTTCATGCTTCCTTTCATTATAGTTAGCAACCGCTCTCCCCACTTGGCCCAGCAGATTAGAAGCTCTATGAGGTCAGAGGGTATTTCTTATCATTCTCATCCACTGATTTCATGCTGTCCATTCTTCCTAGAAAAGTAGATGCTTCGTAAGAGGCCGTGGAATGATGTTTTAAAAATCTGTGAAATAGACACCTAACTTGGCATGACTTTTAAGTAGTTTACAACACTAAGATGAGTTAGAGAAAAATGGATCACATTCAATGGCAACAGTTGAAAACAAAATTACAATTGTCCTTTACTTTCTAATACAATGAGTACTAAGTTTATGTTTATAACTTTGAAACTAAAAAAAGTTAAGCAAAGCCACATAAAGTACTGCCATTTTAATGGGAGCAATTATTTCAAAACAATTATATCCTAATAAAATCAGCAAAATAATAACAGCATACTGTGGCATATACTATGTGCCAATCCAGTATCCATTGGCCTTTCTTACTAATACAACACCAATTACTTTCTAGGGCAGCCATGTGTCCTGATAAAAAAACACAAGACCCCCCTCAGGCAGCTAGAAGTAGATATGTACAGTTCCAATGTGATGAAAGCAGAAGTCACCAGAAAGAGTTTACCTCCCAAAAAAAAACCTCACTCAGAGAAAGCCCTCCCTCTTTCCTCTTCTTTCTACCTTGAATAGGTCCTGGAGATGCAGCAGGCAACTTGTGACTCTGAGGAGGAATCCATGTGACAAAGACAGAAACTGTGGATCTAAAATGTTCAATTGGTCCTCAATGAAAGGAATGACTTCTGGTATCTTTATAAAGAGGAATCTTTGGCACTGAGTTTCTAATGTCATCCAAGGCCTCTGATAATTTGCTTATAAAACTATTCTGAAAACTTAGAAGTTTCTTTTACAAATTATACAAAAGATCAAATGTGAATTAAAAAACGCATTAACTCCAATTTTTAAAAATCTGGTTTTTCAACAGAACAAAATCTGTGTTGATTTTTCAGGTGCCTTGTTATAGGCTCCTTCCTGCCTAAGATGTTGTTCTGGCTGTAAATCATGCAGCCCTCTCAGAGCAATGCATTTGTGAGTGTGATTGCCCAATTATGCATGAGTGCGGTCAGCATGGAAATCCAGTTCAAATTGCAGATCACCACCTGTGAGTTGAAATGTGCATGTGTATTTTATGGGGGGGGAGAATAGTGAAGACGGACTAAAGCAATAAGATGTCAGGTTTAAATCTTCTATGAATGAGAATTGATTACTGCAGCTGATAACCATGGAAATGAGTAATTAAAACATGGTGTGTAAGGAAGGGTAAGTTTTCTTTGTGGTTGTCCTCACAGGATAATTTGTGGTGTTGAGAACCTGCCTCAGGTTTCTTAATAATGTTTTCCTAGCTGGATAATTAGGATGTGCTATTGATGTGATCTAAAAAAGCATTCAGCTTCAAAAGAAGCTGCCAAAAAAGGGAAGCCTAAGTACATCCAAGCCTGGAGATGGAATGTCAGTTTTATTTAGGGGTCCATTGCAAACACCAGTCCTCAGTGTGCCTGTGTCTATGACCTCATTACACATTAGCAACTTCTGTTTCTCCCTTCTCATTCCTATGTGGATTTATTATCTAGAACACAGCTTCCATTTCCCCGTAATATTCTAGATGCTCTTTAAGTCTCAGTAACAGGATCAATGTGGAGCATGGTGCTAATTTTTCCCCATAGATAATGTATCCTTAGGAATGCTTTCACCCACAACAAAAAGACCCTGCACTGGGGTAAACAGACATTTTTTTCCCTCATGTAACAGAATGTCCAGTCTGCATTCAGTCCATCCGTCCAGGATTAACACAGCTGCTCAACGACGTCATTCAGGACCTGGCTCCTCCTATTTTAGAAGATCCACAGTTCCTGGCAGACTGTCAGCCCTAAAACCAATGCTTTTTCTTTTTTTTTTTTTTTTAAATAGCAAGAATGATCAAACATGGAAACATTTATATTTCATTTCTCCTATTACAGATTTACCTTTTATTAAACTTGTTAACATAGAAGAGAGAGGGAAGCAACACTAGGGCTGATTCACCTTGTCTATATGAAACACATCTTCAATTTCTGTCTGGAAGTTGGGTGCTTCTACAATATCCCTAAACTATTTGAAAAATTAACTATATATAGGTAAGGAAAAAGAGTCTATAAATAATTTCAATGAGAAAACAACTGCCAAAAAAAAAAGTTTTAAGATATAACTAAATATAAGGTTTAATATTTTAAAATATTAAAAGAAGGGCTGGGCACAGTGGCTCACGCCTGTAATCCCAGTCTTTGGGAGACTGAGGCGGCGGATCACAAGGTCAAGAGATCAAGACCGTCCTGGCCAACATGGTGAAACCCTGTCTCTACTAAAAATACAAAACTTTGTGGTGGCACTCGCCTGTGGTCCCAGCTACTCGGGAGGCTGAGGAGGAAGAATCACTTGAACACAGGAGGCAGAGGTTGCAGAGAGCCAAGACTGTGCCACTGCACTCCAGCCTGATGACAGAGCAAGACTCCATCTCAAAAAAAAAAAAAAAAAAAAAAAAAATATATATATATATATAAAGAAAAAACTCCTGAACATGTTCTTAGTTTTGGAAAGAATAAAATAATAAAACTAATGATGAGGAAATTGTAAAATGATCTTGGCAGAAACCTTTTGCTATCTACAGCCATCTCCTAAAAGTGAAGCCTCTAGCTGTCACAGAGTTCTATTACGGTCCATAAATGAGGCTGTAAGAGTCTCTCTAACTCTCCACCTCCTCCCCTGCTCCCGGCTTTACTGAATTGTAATTGACAAATAAAAATTGTATATATTTAAGGTGTACAACGTGATGATTTTATATACATTTGTATATAAAAGAAATGATTACCACAATCAAGCTAATTAACATAGCCAACACCTCCCATAGTTACTTTTTTTGTGTATGTTTGTGAT